ACAGGGCGGCCCGGAGCGGGCACACGCCGCCTGCAGAGTGAGGGTTAATGTTAAAGGAGAAGGGAGATTGATTCACTAAAGAGGAACAGGCAGACAAGTGATTCAGTCCAAGCAAAATCTATCACACTGGATACTCTCTTTCAAGTGTAAGTCATGTTTATGAGCTGCAGGGCTGAAATAGCAACGGCTTATTTCAGCCGTTTATTTCTCTATCTGCCTGCATGTGATGTCTCACACGATTATTCCACTCCTCTCCGCTCAGCAGGAGACTGCCCAGTCCTGAGCAGCACCAGGTCCTCTTAATCTCTTTCACTCTTGTTTCCGTGCTTTTGGGGTCCCTTTTCTCACAGCCACTTTCACCACCTGTAAGCAAAGAGAAAGTCCCCAGACGCTCCCTTCAGAGTTTGTAGGGCGCAGAGGACAGCCTTTTTCTCCTGTGCTCTGCTGGCCTCCTGCTCGTCTTTATTAGCTGTGCGTGTTAATGCTATGCAGCCCTGCCTGTGACAGAAGGACACCTCTGCCTCTCGCCGTCACTGCTGTCAGCCTTGCTAATTAACCACACCGCTGCTCTGCTGTCTCTCTCTGTGGGCTTCCAGCTGCTTGAGTTTATTTTTAATTTGGGTTCTCAGGCCTTAGTCATGTTTGCAGGGTTTCTTCTTCAAGACAATCTAGTGCCAATAAATGCAGACAATGAGTCTGTGCCCTGGCTGATTCCCAGAGGGACTGGAGCTTTTTAGCACTTGCTTATGGATTCTCTCTCAGAGTCTATAAACTCTGATTAACAGACATTTGCTACGTTTTAAGCAAAGTCAAATGGCGCCATTTTTTCTTCAATAAGAACAGAATGCCAGCCATGTTTGTTTCAGAAATGGTGCAGGGGTTTTAAAGAATTGCCAGCTGCACTTTGATGATGCCTTAAAGGCAAGGCAGTAAGATCTCCGTGAAGGCGCCCAGGAATGCGGGAACTTCAGCGGTGGGGCAGGTCGCAAGGTTGGAATGAGTGCAGTTCCAGCCATGACTACTGCTGGGGAGGTCAGAACGAGCTCTGCGTCTGACAGTCGGCAGCCTGAGGGTAGGCAGTGTTGCGTTCAAATGTTCCTGTCCAGGTCCGAACTGTCCGAACAGGTGGACATGGCTGCCTGCCCGCTTCGTTTCTGCGGGGAGTTCTGTCGCAGTGGCGTCTGTTCTTCGGGCAGCGTCCGCCCCGGTGCCGCGTCGTTAACCCCAAGGGCAGCGTGGGGGTGGTGTCGGGCCCGCAGGAGGGGCAAGGGCGAGGAGGATTCGGCGTCGCATCTAACCCTGATCGTCCCCGCAGGTGGCGGCTGATCTCCTGGCTTCGCACCCCGGGCAGGCAGAGGGCCATGCGCTGAACGGACACATCCGCCTCTCCCAGGAGGACTACGCGCAGGCCGAGCGCAGGTGAGTGCTGGGTGGCTCTCCAGTCTTCAAGAGTGTATGGCTCCAGCCTGAGCTGCTGGAGTCGCAGGCCTGGGGGTGAAAGGAGCGGTTGTCTGTGTGTGTGGATTTTTGCATGGTCACGAAACTGATACAACACAACACAATACGCGACACACTGAACACGGCACGAAACCAATAACAAATAAGAGATGCATGTATGATGAGAAAAGAAACATATAAGTAAAGTAAAATATACAATCAGTTGTCCAAGCTAGTTTAGATCAATGGCTAGATGGAAGGAGCTCAAATTCACTGAACATCGTTATAATTGCTGTGCTCATTGAGGTTCAGTTTCTGTAGACATGAGCACACTAAGCAAAAGCCTTTTTTTCTGTGTCCATTTATCAGTCCTTCTCTAAAACACGTACTTGTGCTCTGTGCTTCATTGTGTTATGGCTGCCTAGAATTTAAAAAGGAACGTTATTTTGCATTGCATCCTCAAGTCTTAGTGATTGTGTTATAATGTTTATTTGCATGTCGTGAAAGTGAACCATATGGGCTCATTAAAGCTTATTAATGTAATTAAGTCTTCTGAGTCACGTGTTTGCCAGTGCTCTCCGTGTGTGTTTTCTCCATTCGAACACTGATTCCCACGTGACTCGCACTTTTTACATTGAAATTGCCAGAAGGTTTTCTTCCTTGGAAGCGTCTTCATGAGCCATGTGCGAGGAAAGACTGAGCATCTCGGTGCCCGAGAGTGGGGCTGATTGAACTGAGCACACATGCTGAACAGCCATCGTCACTGAACAGTGTGAAACTAACATGCTTGAGCTTCACGTGTCTCTGCTCTTCAATGTTCCTGTTTTCTGATCCAGCATCTGTACCTTTTAACTTGAACAAGGAGCCAAATGAGAGAAGTAGCCATCCATGCACTCTGAATACAGCCCATTTTCCGTTTGTGAGCAAGATAATGCAGTGTTAAATGAAACCTAATTGCCCATCTTTGAATTGATTGTTCAAAAAACTTATCTTAACTTATAGGTATATTTTACTGCAGAGTTATAAAACCTCTTTTCCTCCTGAATGCATATTTGTTCTAACACTTGTTAGCATAAAAAGCTTTTTTTCTTTTTAGTTGCCAAGTGCTGTATGATAGGCTTAATTTATTATTTCTACGAACAGTACTTGTTGTTCAAGCTTCACTCCAGGAAACCCAGGAAATTCAAAGGAAATTCACCCAGTCTCTTTATAAATAATTTATAAGTGCACTCAGTCTTCCAGAACATTCTTTTATTTCTGTTTATTTTGTCACAATCTGTCGAACAGAACACGTTCATGGAGTTCAGGAAAGGCTGGACATTTAAATCCCCGGTTTTAGGGGCTGTGAGTTTGGAGCTTCTGTTGTCTGGGAAGAGTTTTGGCTGAAGAATATAAAGAGCATGGATGCCTCACAGCGCTGGGGCCCTGGGTTCAGTTCCTGGGGCGCTGTCTGTGTGGAGTCTGCATGTTCTCCCTGTGTTCGTGTGGTCGGTGCCGGTAGGTGAACTGGCTGCTGGGAAAACTGGCCCTGGTGTGAGTGTGTCTGTACTGTGATGGACTGGTGACCTGTCCAAGGCGTACCCCACCTTGTGCCTGTTGCTTTCTGAGATTAGCTGCCCTGCGACCCTGAACTGGTTTAATTGGGTGAATGGTATGTAAATAAAATTACAAACGAGAGGAGCCATGCAGCCCATCTAGCCTGTTTGGTACTTAGTAGATAATTGATGCAAGTATCTCATTCTGCTATTTAGAGAAGCCGGGGTTTGGGCCAGGCACCTTGATCCACTCTCCCACCACCCTTTGTGTAAAGGAATGCCTCGTGTCTTGACTGGAGGATCTTACCCAGCTGTGTCTTGAAAGAAGCTGGGGTATCAGTTTAAACAACATGGATAGGCGGCTTGTTCCCGACTCCCGCAAACCTGTGTGTAAGGATCGGCCTCTTGTTCATCCTCGATCTGTTTTTCCTCCCCTCGCAGCTTTCAGAAGGCAGTGGAGCTCAGCCCGGAGTCGGGGGAGTACTACCTCAACCTGGGGCTGCTGTACTGGCGCATGGGAGAGGACACCCGGAGAGACAAGAGCAAGGCGCACACGTGTCTGCTGAAGGTCAGACCTCGCACTGCGGTGGCGCTGGGTGCTGCACGGGGTATACACTGCGCCTGTCTAGAGGCGCAGCGCCTTGGTGGCCCTTGTCCCACTGGCCCCCAACAGACCCTGGTGCAGGAGACACGGACTGCACCTCATGGCCGCATGTAGCTTAGGCAGAGATTTCACAGAAAGTCTTTCTTTGACATAACATTCTTACTCGTTTTTCCCAGTTTTGAGTTACTGGAGGTAGCTTTGCTTTTTAAAAAGTGTGCGGGCTGGTTCGTGGTCATGTCTCTTGCGAAGATAGCTTTCTTCTTAACCGCGGCCTTTGGCACACTTGGTTGTGTCCTGTGATTTGTCGAGCATGAGTCGGATCGTCACTTTTCCTGCGAAGGACCATCTGCGTTCTTGTCCATTTTGTTTCACAGATCTAACTTTGCCTCATCCAAGGCGTTGTTTTTGCCTTCGCTTCGAGGCCCTGTGGCTCTTGTTTCTATTGTAAGGAACAAGGCCGTACCAACGCGCGTTCTCCTTGCAGGCCGCGAAGCTGGACGCTCGCCTGGGGCCGGCGTTCCGCTGCCTGGGGCACTTCTACCGCGACGTGGCGCAGGACAGGGCCCGCGCGCGGGGCTGCTACAGGAAGGCCTTCGACCTGGACGGCGGGGACGCGGAGGCCGGGGCGGCGGCTGTGGACCTGCTGATGGAGCTGGGGGACATGGTGCTTGCACAGGCGACCGCGGCATTTCCCATGCGCCCCAGCGCCGCCGTGCGCGATACCCTTCCTCCGCTCGCCTGCTGTTGCGCCTGATCAGGCTCTCGGCGCTGACCTTTGCGTCTGAGGCATTTGAGTGCCTTTTCATTGTCTCCCGCCCCCTGCGCCGGCACACGGTCTCACGAATCCCTCGTAAGTCTCGGCCTCTGTTCTCTCTCCCAGGAGTCCGCCCTCGCCATCCTGAAGTCCGTGACGGAGCGGGCCGGCGCCGGCGTGGCCAAGTGGGCGTGGCTCAGGCGCGGCCTGTACAGCCTGAAGATGAACCAGCACGCTCAGGCCATCGCAGAGTAAATTCCCTGTCTCCCTGTCTCCCTGTCTCCCTGTCTCCCTGTCTCCCTGTCTCCCTGTCTCCCTGTCTCCCTGTCTCCCTGTCTCCCTTTCAAGCACTGAGTTAGCCGTTTCCATGGAGCTGCTCAATCTTTTTTAGCCCAGAGAGCAGTAAATTATAGTTTGCAATGCTTATTTTTTTATTGAAATGATTGCAGTTAAAAGCACGCTTTAAAAGCCCACATATTGTGTGGTACAAACATTTATGGAGTTCATTGTCGTAGATTTGTCAGTGCTGTGCTCTGAAGAAAAGTTGCTGAGTTCACCACAGTGATTAATGACATGCTTTCTGTTCAGGCTGTTTCTCAGTATTTAAAGCCGATATAAAAATAGGGCGAATACACGTGTTGTGGGAAGGTTCTTGAGGTTTCGGTGAGCACGAGCAGGTCTTGCTTCAGGAGTTCTCCTTGGCCCGGGCTGCAGTCACGCCCTGTCTCCCCGCAGCCTGCAGGCGGCGCTGAGAGCCGAGCCCCTGGACGCGGTGTGCTGGGAGTGCCTGGGCGACGCCTACCTGAACCGCAGGAGCTTCACGGCGGCGCTCAGGGCCTTCAGCAAGGCTCAGGAGCTGCGGCCCCAGTCCATCTACAGCCTGTACCAGGTGGCCGCCATCAAGCAGACGCTGGGCAAGTGCAAGGAGGCGACGGGCGAGTACATGCAGATCATCCAGAGGCGGGAGGAGTACGTCCCAGCGCTGAAGGGTGAGGGGTGCCGGCAGCTGTGTGTCTGTCTGCGTCTGTCTGCGTCTGTCGTCACAGACTCTTCGCGCTCTTCTGAGGCCTTGAGTGCCTTTTCACTCTCTCCCTTTCCGTGCTCTGAAACGCGGTCTCCAGGGGCAGTTGATGAACCCATCAGCCCCTGCCCTTTCCACCCCTCCTCTGTTCTTCCGGCGCTGTGTGAAGGGCGGCAGTAGGCGCAAGCTGAGTGAGCTCCACTCGGTTTATGACCTCCTGTCGTCTCTTGCAATTTCAAAAGAATCTTTCCCCCCCGTTTCATGGAACCATCGATCTTACTGTTGCTCAAAGGCCCCATTGTTCTGTCCTTTCCTTTGATCATCTTCTTCCCTGCCAGGCCTGGGCGAGTGCTACCTGTCGATGGCGCGAGCTGCGATGGAGACGTTTCTCGATGCCAGAGCGGTGGACTACATCGAGCTGGCTGTAGAGTACCTCTTCAGGTCAGTGGTGCTCTACACGCAGAGCCGTTTTATTGGGGACACGCGTGTCTGCCATTTACACGCTGAGGGTCTGAGTTGTCTGGCATGTCGTTCACATCTGGGACTGTTACCAGGCACTAGGAGCTGGAGTTACATTTCAGGTCCATTTTAAGGTGTGACATTGTTTTTCCCCTCTATAAAAAGCTTGATTGTTGCCAGAGTCAGGCCAGAGTCAGGCCAGAGTCAGGCCAGAGTCAGGCCAGAGTCAGGCCAGAGTCAGGCCAGAGTCAGGCCAGAGTCAGGCCAGAGTCAGGCC